CGGGCGGCAGGGCGGGATTCGGCGGGACTCGCCGGGGGAAGCGGCTCTAGAGGCCAGCGGGGTTGCTGCGGGCTTTTCCGCCGGCCTGGTGTGTGCCAGGCGCTGACTCGGGGGTCACGCCTGTCGCAGGAGGGGACCTCGCAGACCCCCACGGGAACGGGCCCAGCGCCGGCATAAAGCTTCCCCCAGACCGCTGAGAGGGGGTCCCCCGTTTCTCCTTAAAAGGGCCCTGCGACCTCCCAGAGAGGAGCGCCTTCACAATGGGAAGAGATAACCGCAGACCTCAGAGGTCGTTCGCTGCCATCTAAGAAAAGAGTCTTTTCAGATACTTACAAAAGAATCCGCGAGGCTTTCTGTAAAGCGCCTTGCTTAGGCATTACACCCTCCACCCCGCTCCGTTAGGGGAGTGTGACGTTTCCTCGCTGACCCCCAACCCCCTCCATTTAGTCTTCGTTTGTCCACATCTAAGCAGCTTGCAAGTTTTCTCCCTAAGTCATTCAACTACATCTCTCCTCTCTTTGTCTTCCGTCTTTTGTTTCTGCTCAAGCAGTTATAAGCATGTTATCCAAAGCATTTTTTGTTCTTCCTTTAAGATTCTCTAATGGTAAAGGATCTCAAACATCTACTTTATCTCCATCCCCAGCCCCATATGCCTGAGTGATGTCCAGGCCTGGTTTCACTCCAAAAGGAGAAAAAAGGGAGGAGTGGGGATCAGTAAAGGTGAAGTAAATTAAAATGAGCAATAAGAGTGCCAGAAGTGAAATGGAGTTGAAGGACAATTTGGGATAAAGGAGTAAACTTCTTTTTGTACCGCTGTTGTAACAATACCTTTATATCCCGAATGCCAGGAAGAACATGAAACATCACCATTAGTTGTTAGAAAAGTTGGCTTCCAGTTTTGGGTTTGCTACTAGCCATTCTCCAGTTACTGTAAATTAACTAGTAAGTTGGTCCCCTCTGGGCCTAAAGTTGTCTTTCCTGTTTAAAAAGAAAGGATAATAGCATTGGTGATACAAGGTCTTTTCTAGTGAGAAAATCCTATGTAGGTGAATAAAATGAGCAAAATTTAAGTGCTCTCATAGGACCACTGTAATAGGGAAGAATAAATTACTTTAACCTTTGTATCCTATTGCTTTTGCTACAAGTTAATCACTAAAGGGATGTTGCCTATAACCTTAAATTATACATAATTGACTATCTCTGGGAACTCTGCCTCCCATGTAATGAGCGTTAAGCTAAAATACCTTTCTTTAGCTCACAGGAAACCTCCTGACCAGGTCCACCTGGAAACGGCTGCAGGAAGGAAGAAATTAATACATCCTGGAACCAGGACTTTACCCTCTCCCCTTTTAGTATAAAAGAAGCACGAATTCTAACTCAGGGAAGATGGTTCTTTGGGACACTAGTCCACCATCTTCTCCATCTGCTGGCTTTCCAAATAAAGTTGTTCTTCCTTGCCCCAACATCTCATCTCTCGATTTATTGCCCTGTTGTGCTGAGAGCCGTACAAACCTGGACTCGGTAACACTACCAATATTTTTAACTATACCATGAGCTCTTTGAGTGCAGGAACTTTGCACTTCTGCAACGTTCTCCTTCACCATGGCACTGCTGCCTTCTTCAGCCACTGCAGACAGGCTTCACAACTTGGAAATTCTTGTTCCTGAAATGTGGAGAGCGTGAGCTTTCTGAAAGCACAGGGGTGGAAATGCTAAGATACAGTCTGGGAGTCAAGACAGATAATCTCTCTTGAATTTCCACTTGCTCAAAGCCCTCTTTGTCCACTGACTGCTTTCTGCCCCCTTCCTACCCATGTTTATAATTGTTCCATATGCCTAAGGATAAATTTCTGTTTTAAATCTCACACTCTTAGGTCTGCTCCTGCCACAACACAGCTAATCCACTGCTTCCTAAAAAAGAGAAAAAAAAGAACTCTTAAACATTTTTTTCTTCCAAAAAACCCTTTGTGAATTGGGGTGTGTGTGTGTGTGTGTGTGTGTGTGTGTGTGTGTGTGTGTGTGTTCCTTCCCTGGCTCGCTTTTCTTTATTGCTCCCATTTTCATTTATGCACTTACATTCTCCACATCCCAAACTTAGCTAGCCGTGTATGTGATATAAATGCTTTCCTCTCTATTCTTGTCATAGATCACTATGGTAGATCTACTGTAATAGATACCATTGTATGTCACGTACATATTTGTTCTTCTTAGTGTGTTTGTCTTAGATTGCAGGCCCTCGGAGGTTAGAGCTGCAGTCAGTAGGTCCCTACAGTGCCCAGAGCAGTTCTGGTTCATCATTTGAAATGCTTAATGTTGATTATTTCCTTTTCTGCGAATGTGCTTCTGAGACTGGCTTCTTCCCACCTCCCTCATACTCAAGTCTCCCAGTAAAAATCAGGTAGCCTCTTTTCCCCAAAGTGTGTCCTCACTAAACTTGGATTCAGAAGACTTGAGTTTCCATCTCAGTTCTGCCCATTGCTAACAAATTGTTTTCTGACTAGCCTCTGAGTTTTGACCTCCTCATCTGTAAGGATATCCTTGCTGAGGACAGAGTGTAACAGCATCTGTGGAGCATTTGTCCACTATGAAACCCTTTATAAAGGTCAAGGATCCCGATTACTCTTGCTACCACCCCATACCCTACTCTGTTCTTGGTATCAAGAACTCAAACTTTACTTATCACCTAATTTCACAAACTTCAAGTGGATTTAATGTTTCAATCTTGGGTAGGAATCTAATGGAAAAAGAATTTTGCCTTGAGAATTAGGCTTCTTGAGTTTCTAATCTAGGCACTATTTTTTGAAGGCTACACTGAGGCAATACATTTCAATCACTCTGTGCCTTGGTTTCCCCATTTATAAAGTGATCATGACAAGAACTTCCAGAAAGAAAAGTACTGTAACATTAAGACTATTTACATTGATGAGGTCAAAGACTGAAGGGTATATATGAAATCAACTTATTTCCACTCTGTGTGACTCAGTTTCCCCTTCAGTAAAGTGAAGATAAATGATTATAAGAGAATAAACTTTGACTACATATTATTTGCATTTACCACATTGGACTCAAGTAGCTCATAGATTTTGTGTTTTGGTTTATTTTTCCCATCAACTCAAAGTTGTTGTGAGGCCAGAGGAGTTAATGTCAGTAACATGAGTGGGGATCCCCAGATTAAAGGTTAAGTGAGTCCGAAGCAGAAGTAACTTTGCTCAAAGTCACAGCTCAGCCGGGAGGAGCAGAGAACCTGACTGTTATTTAGCAGTGACTTAGGGACTCAAGGACTCTCCCCAATTCCACGTCCATCACAGTCCACAAATACCCCTTTCTCTCATTTCCCGTTTTTAGGTCTTGGTTCCCTCATCTCAGATCAGCACTGTGGAGAGGGTAGTGAGAGATCACGAAGGAACAGAACAGGAGAATAGGATTAACATGAGGAAATGACAACTTAAGCTATTTTGGCTTTTTTTTTTTTTCCTGGCAGCCTAGGAGAAAGTTTCCCCTAACCAAATGTTTGATTGCCAGAATCTTTTTCTTTCTTTCTTTCTTTTTCTTTTTTTTTTCTGGGCCATGCCACATCGCCTGGCTGTGGGGTCCTAGTTCCCGGACCAGGGATTGAACCCGTATCCAAGACAGTGAAAGTGTGGAGTCTAACCACTGGACCACCAGGGAATTCCTAGAATCTATTTCCTAGAATCTATTCACTTATTTCAGAAAGCCTGCTGAAGTTAATTGGAGCAGAGGCCTAGATTTCCTGGTCTTAACTTATGTAGGATGTTTTTTTTCCAAGACCCTTGTGTATTTGTTCCCCACTTATAAGCCCTGAGCCTTGACCTGTTTGCCACAAAAACCTTTTTGCTGTCTTTTGTATTTATTCACTGTTCATATCTGGCTCTCACTGTATTCTCTTTATGACTGTCCACATCATTTGTCATCTGAAGAGGGCAGAGACTGTGTCTATCTAATGCTCATTATATAATGGCTAATAAAAATGATAATCACTGTAATGGACTTGGGGTTCATAGTCTAACAAACACCAGTAATGGTTGTCGTGAAAAATGGAGCGAGGCCTCAGATCCTATTAATTAACAGGCAATCACCTTAAGAATATTTTTAAAAGCTTTCCTTTAATAATTGTGCACACGTTTTTTGAATGTGTAGAATCTTAGAGATGGAATGAATGTCAGAGGTCATCTATCCCATCCTCTCTCTCAGTGCTACCAGCCTCTCCTCGAACCCTCATGATGATGAGAAGGTCACTGCTTTGCCCAACACCTAGTCAACCTAGATTTTTAAAATATATTGTAAAATACATCATATCCACAAAAGAGTATATGAAAATATATGTGTATCAGTTGAAGACAATAATAAAACAAAGTACTTAAGTACCTACAACCCAGTCAGAGAATAGAAATTACCATACCCTAGAAGTCTTCTTTTATCCCTCCTGATTCATCCAAGTTCAACGTTTAGATCACTCTAATTATAGAAAGTTCTTCCTTATATGGAGCTGAAATGTGTTCCACTGACATAACTACCCATGACTCCTAGTTCTGGCCACTGGGGCTACACAGATTAAATTTAATGTTTCTTCCATGTGACAGCCCATCAGCTATTTGAAGACAGGTATTATGCCTCCCTAAGTAGTTGCTGGAAAAAAACAACCTTAGTTCCTTTTCTCTCCAAATGTGGCTTCAATAACTAAACACAGTCCTCCACAGACCTGGTCTGAGCAAAGTAGAGAGTAAAACTATTCTCCCTCCTTGATTTGGATGCTCTCCCTACCCCATCTTTTTTTTAAAGGTGGCTTTGGATAGGATTGACTTTTTCAGAGGCCGTAGTACACTGCTGAGTAGATAGTCAAAATTCGCATGGCTTTCTTTTGGGAACTGTTAACCCAGGACTCTTCTGTTAAGTAGTTTTAAAATCTAAATGCCAGACTTTACTTAC